AATAAACATGTCTTTTAATTCTATGAGCTTTTCAAAGTCCCGTCATGTATAAATTGGCTGTCATCACTTTCAGCATAAAATCCCCTTTGTTTTGTCGCTTCCTGTTCCAGTAACATCCTTTCAGCCCCCTCCCTGGTGGCTGCAGGCCAGCTGAGTCCACCTCCTCTCCAAAGCCTTCTCCCACCCACTCCTGCCCACACGGCGGTCAGCCTTGGTCTCCCTGTAAGAGGTGACTGTACCGTGACATCAGCGGGCCTACCCTTTCTCACAACCTCCTGGCTACCTCCTGCCCCACCGCACCCCTTACATAATATGTATGGTTCTGAGCTTCTCGTGCTTCACCCTTGCCTCTGCAGGCCAGTGAGGAAGGCATCGTTTCCTCCCCGACTGCAGAAACTGGGTCTCTTCCCTCTGCCCCTTTCGTAGCCCAGCATGTCACGGGTCTCAGTGTCGAGACTATGACTTTAGCCCTGGACCAACCCTCAGCTCCACCGCCTTCTACAATAGATAAGAGCCTTGAGTAAGTCACTTGATCTTGTACAACAAGGATAAAGATAGTTCCTGCTCGTTATCACACAGGAGTAAGGACCTTATAAATGTTTTCTATTACTTTTAGCAGTGGCACATGCAGTTAATAAAGGGCTCACATAATTCATTGATAAACAGACATCTTAACTTCCCACATAATGCCAAGTAAATAATGCCTCAGCATGGAACCAGCAGTGGAGTGGGCTATGCCCAGGACCGAACACGTGGCAGCCCCCACATAGTGGTGACGAGCCAGACTGCCCGGGGTTTGATCCTGGCTCTGTCATTTGCTAACTATGAGATCTTAAAAATTGCTTAGGGGCCGGCAGATGGCATGGTGGTTAAGGGCACTGGACCCCCACATGGCTGACCATAGTTCGAGTCCCGGACCTGGTGGCTTGCTTTCTTACTTTCCCTTTCTCTCTCTCTGCTGAAATTGAAAAAGAGTAATAAATAAAAAATAAAATATAGTGGATAATTACTTCTTTAAAAATTGCTTTCGCCTTCAGGGCTGCAGTGTCCTCATCTCTATAATAGGAGGATAGCGAAAATTCCTTTCTTGTATGATATTTCCTCTCCATCACCTCTAATATCTGCTTTGAGCTTTTCTATGAACCCATGCTGGTATGAAGATAAGAAGAAAAATGAGAGAGAGAATTGGATTATCTGGTTTGTCTCAGACCACATTGTAGTCAAGGCCTTGCCTGAGGTCTGATCTCAGGTCTACTGAATGTTCTAAAGACCCAAGTCGGTCTGCCGGAAAACTCAGCCATGCTACTGGAGGGTGTGGGATTAGGGGGTAAATGCTGTCAGGCTCATCGTGAGGTTCTGGAGGACAGAGATTCAGGATGGTCTCAAAAGATAGGGAGGGGACTGACTGGGTCTGCATGAGCAGAATGAAAACGTGCATGGGTGCTGGGAAGGTGAGGGAGTCTGGGCTGGGCGGCTGAGCTGGGCCCTCTGTCTGGACAGGGCCAATTCGCAGAACCCTGCAGTCAAGCTCCAGAACGGTGATAGGCAAGGAGGAGCCACTGCAGACTCTAGAGCGGGAGCATGACTCGCTAGAAGTCAAGTTGGAAGAAGAGAGGTCAGAGCCAGTTTGGGGGAGGGATGGGAGTCAGGGAGGCCAGCAGGCAGGGGTGAGAGAGAGAAGTGATGAGGTCACTGGCAATCTGCAGGGTTTCAAGTCGGAAGGACCAGCAGGTCATCTAGAAACATCTGCCCCTGTACTTCCTCTCTTGGCCGCCTCGGCCACCACAGCACCTACGGCCTGGTTCCAGACATCCTCTCCTTCAGACCACCCCACACACTGCACCTGGAGTGGCCTTGTCCTAGAGTCTACAATGGCTCCCCCTGCCGAGAGAGCGAGTCCAACTCCAGCCCTGCATTCAAGCCCACCCTGCTCCGGCTTTGCCTTGCCTATTCCCGCCCGCCCCCAGGCCCAGTGCAGTCAGCCCACATCTGCCTCTGAGTGTGCTCACCTCATCCCCACCCGGTTCCTGGAACATCTTTGCCATCTCTCTTCACCTCTTCACATTCTACCCATTCCTCGGAAGGCAGAGTTCACCACACTCCTGCGATGCCCTTAGGGGACCTCTGTGTAAGATTGCTTAATCCCATCCTTGCTTCCCACAGCAATGACGACACAGATGATCCTTGCTGGGCACTGACTGTGGGCCAGGCACTGTGTTAAACTGTTTACATGTGAAACTCGTTTAATCCTCACCACAACCCCAGGAAATAGGCATTCTCACCCCCGTCTTAGAGGTGAGAAAATTGAGGCTCAGAAGCTAGGGCACTTGCCAAAGATCACAGGGCTATTTCGTGGCAAAGCCATTTGCTTAGCCCCAAGTCCATGGTCTGAACCTTTTTGCTTCACAGGTGTACTCGGGGTTGGCACATTGCCCACCTCTAGAGGGAGCTCTGCTCTTGTCTCCAGGGGACAGCTCCCTGGGCAGTGCTGCCATGAAGGGCCTCTCTGTAGACTGGGGCTTTGGCTTGATTCCCTTTATCACGTTATTGCAGACCTACTTGTCTTTTGGCTTGAGCAGGCCTCAACCTCCAATCCAAGACTGTGAACTCTTCTAGAATTTTCTGGAAACCTATTCACTCTCTCCTTGACTTGACTCATTCTCGCAGTTCTGCAATACACTGGGCTTACTTCTACAGGTAGGGGGATGGGGGACAAAGAAAGCAGATGACGGGTTCTAATTCCAGCTCTGCTATAGCCACTCACGTGGCCTAGGGGGAAATCATTCCGCTGAGACAGAGATGTGTTCACAGAGCTGCTGTGGAGACCGGCAGGGTTGCAGCCTAAAGGGTCTTGTACAGCTCTGGCTCTGAGCAGGTGCCCAGCAAATGACAATAAACCCGAACGGCCACAGCAGGCAGTCTGCTGCGTGCTTATAGGCCACTCTCACTGTCTCCCTCGTGTGATGAGGCAGGGCCCCCTGGGTCCTCATTGTGCAGACACGCACATCTGAGGCTCAGGGAGGTTAACTGGCCCTAGGTCATCAGCTGGTGAGAGATGGCACAGGGCTTGGACATACAGCTGGTGCCACATCACATCGACCTAACATCACGTTTAGGTCAACCACAGAGAGTGAGAGTTCTAGAAGAGTTCGCAGGCTTGGATTGGACACTGAGATTGTAAGGAGCTGAAAATCCCTGTGGCCTAGCGACATCGTAACTGTCGTGATGTCTTAGCACCATGCATGTGTTTATGGTGATGTTGATGTCAATGAACCTGCTGCACCACCCGTCCTGTGAAAGTACAGCATAGACACAGGGTTTTCAGTTCATAGAGGGACCAGCAGGTGGCATGGTGGTTAGGGTGCTGGACACTCCCACATGCTGACCACGGTTTGAGTCCTGGACCTGGTAGCTTGCTTTCTCACTTTCCCTCTCTCTCTCTCTCTGTGTCTCTCTCTTTGGTCAGATTAAAATAAATGAATTAATAAACTAAATTAAATAAAATAAATCTTAAAAAAAATAAAGTTCATAGAAAATGCATGTTATAAAAAAAACTATACATGGGTTTTAACTTTTTTGCATCAAAATAAAAGCATAGTTTAATTCCATTTTCCATGAACTTTCTGGCATTCCCTCATAGAGTCATGTACATCACAAAATACTCAATAATGATGATAAATGACTATATTACTGGCTTATTTGCTATGTTATACTTTTTATCTTTTTTTTTTTTGAGAGATTTTTGCTATATAGGGTAAGTAAGTTTGCTGAAAAGACAGAGAAAGAGTAAATGAGAAATCACCCCCTAGGGGCGATGGCCACACTGCAATTCCTTCTCCTTCATTCTCCTCTTGGGATTTTGGGCACAGATGCACTTGTGCCTGGCATGAGATCCAAACCACCAGGTCTGGGACTCGAACTGCCATCAGCCATGCACTATAAACCACTACACCACCTCCTGGCCTTTCATCATTATTTTAGAGTGTACTGCTTCTACTTATAAACATTCATTGCAAGGGTCTGGCAGGTGGCGTGGTGGTTAAGGGTGTTGGATTCCCACATGTCTGACCGCAATTCAAGTCCTGGACCTGGCAACTTGCTTTCTCGCTTGCCCTTTCTCTCTCTCTCTCTCTATCTCTATCTCTGGTCATATAAAAAATAATAATAAATGGAATTAAATAAGTAAATAATTCTTTTAAAAATGTATTGCAAAACCACATGCTGTGCTATGTCTGCAGCAGCCCGGCGCATCTCATACAGACCATGTTTCCTGACTGCATTTTCTCTTGTGCTTGATTTATTCCCCCGATCATGGCCCTTCCAGTGAGATAAGATGTGGAGGTGGAAGACGGTGGTATTGACGATCCTGAGTCTGTGTAGGTATGGTGACAGCGTTCAGTGTTAGTCGCCACGGTGTCTGGTAAGTCATATGCTGTCCAGGTTTGAGGTCTAGGGGCGATCGGCTAAGCCACACAGCACGGGCTGTGCCATCCAGGACTGTGTAAATACACTCTGTGGTGTTTGCGCAGGGACGAAATTGCCTCACGATGCATTTCTCAGACTGCACCCCGCTGTTGGGTGATGAGTGGCAGTAAGTTGTCTAACGTCCTGATACGCTTTACCTGGTTGATGTTCCAAATACTCAACAATGTGCGAGATGTATGCACTGACCAATCAGAACAGATGCCTGCCAGGACCCCCCCCCTTGACTCTGACCACTAGATCTGCTCCCCCTCTCGTATCATATCAGGCCCCTCTCCGAATTCTCGCTCCAGAGATTCCAAGCTTGTTCAGGGCCACTCTTGTCCCTTTTCACCTTTACGTCACATCAGGTGTAAGGAGGTGCCCGGCCATCAGCGACACATCGAATCCCAACAGGGACACCCCAAAAACAACTCTGAGACTAGATCTCAGGTGTGAGATCAGGAGCAAAGAGGGCCGCAGCCAGGGGGCAGAGGCCAAAGGACATGAGCAGGAGGCGGCCGCAGGGATGGGCTTACCTGAAGAGAGCAGGGGTGGCTTTCGGCACGTTGTTGTTGACGTCTTTTTCCTCAGTCAAGTCGAACTGGTAGGATTTGCCCTTAAACAGAAACTTCCAGGGACAGGCCATCTCTCTGGCTTTCCAAGGCAGGTCACGTATCTGGATTTAAACTCAGACGGGTGTCCCTCAGGAGCTGAGGAAGGGAAGAGAGGGGAGGTTGAGGAAGAATGTACAGAACTGTCCCTTCTCGGTGTGGTCAGTGGACTACAGAACCAATAAAAAGCCAACCTAAGTCTTGAATAGTCACTTCATCAATACTTGGCCACTTCTGTTTCGATTTTGGAGCAAGGTTGGGGACCCCATGATGCACACTGTAATTCCACCAACCGCATGATAAGCTAAAGGGAAAACACCAGACTCGGCCTGGTTTGTTACAAGGGCATACCACGTGCCTAGTGAACCTCAGTAAGTGGGATCTGCCGGCTCGCCTGAACCAGGCCAGTTTCCTCAGCGGCCCGAGGCAAGGTGAGAGGAAACGGGGCACTCACCAAAACACGGTGAAGAATAGCGACTGACTTTATGTCTGTTATTGATGAAGCACTTGTGTTGAACTTGCCTTGCTTTTAACATTTTGCAATTGTTCATCCCAAGTCAATGGTACCATCAGCTCCTTTTTTTCTTTTTTAATCAAGGAGGAAATAATGATATTTGAAAAAAACACACTCAATTCTCAAAATTTGAGATAATTTTCATTAAAAAAAAAAAAAGACAAGAAATAGAGACTCAAGAGGTAGCCCAGCTCTGGTCTGGGCTCACCCATAGCAAATCTCTTTACTGGGAAAAGCCTTTCCCTGGGAGGCAGTGCGGGGACATGGGCCCCACTGCCTAGTTTCAAATCCTAGCTCTATGTGACCTGGATCAAGTAGCAATTTATTCAACTAAAACTCTTTTCTTAAGTTTTCTTTTCTTTTTTTTTATTTGGGGGGGGAGAGGCTTTTTTTTTTTTTTTTTTTTTCTTTCAGGGGCCTCGGATCAAAGAAAACAGGGAGAGGCTTTTTTTTTTTTTTTTTTTTGCTATAGGGCGCATGGGCTCAACAGAAAGACAGACAGAGACAGAGAGACAGATTACCCCCCAGGGGGGATGGCCATGCTGCAATCCCTTCTCCATTCTCCTCTCGGGATCTTGGGGCACGCATGCACATGCGCCTGGCATGAGTTTAAGTCACCAAGTCCGGGACTTGAACCGTGGTCAACTACATGAGAGTCCAGTGATATAGCCATTATGCTAACTATTGTCCCTCTTTTCTTTTTTTTTTTTAAAGAGAGGTTTTTGTTATAGGGCTTGTGTGCTCTCCAGACAGATAGAAAGTGAGAAATTACACCGTGGCGTGGGGGGATGACTACCCTGCAATCCCTTCTCCTTCGGTCTCCTCTCAGGATTTTGAGCACACACGCACACATGCCTGGGATGTTTCAAGCCACTGGGTCTTCGACTACACCCGCAGTCAACTATGTGGGAGTCCAGCAATGTAACCGTTATCCCATCTGCTGATCTCAAAGGTTTTTTTTAACTTATTAGTCCCATAAGTGAGAGAGACAGAATCCTCAGGAGAGTTTTAATACTGCCATCCACTCCAGCTCCAGCCAGCCTGGACCATGGGCATGCACATGCCTGGCACAGTCAAGTAGGTGTCCAGACTCAAGCCTAGAACCTTCTCATGTGGGTCAACCTTACAGAGCGTCGCATTCTACCTCTGTGTCACCATCCAGCCCCCTAAACTTACTTCTTCATACATACAATGGGCTTAATAAAATCCATCCTACCAGAAGTGTTGTTTTTTTCTTGGGTATGTGGGGGGGGGGTTATAAGGACTAGATAGAATAATCTATGTAAACAAATTCTCAGCAGATATTCCTTACCACCACTACCCCCCTCCCCATTCTGAAATTTCCAGGACGTTTTTCCTTGTAATTAATGCAGCCACCACAGCAAACATTTGCGGAAAAGAAATTTGAACAAGAGACCCTGTTCCAATGGTCGGCCTCAGGTAAGCATGTTTTTCTTTTCTTTCTTTTTGCTATAGGGCATGTGCACTTGCTGGAGAGAGAGAGAGAGAGAGAGAAAGTGAGAAATCCTCCCCCAGATGGAGGGAGGAATGGCCACACCACAAACTCTTCTGTTCCATCCTCTTCTCAGGATCTTGGACATGAATACACATGCACCCAGTGAGCTTCTCAAACCACCGGGTCTGGAACTCAAACCGGTCCGTCGACCATGTGGGATCCAGCCACCTTAACCACCATGCCACCTAACTGGCTCCATCACGTCGGCACTTCTTTACCTAAACTTTCTATCAGCTTTCGTTCATTTACTGCCCACTAGGCAGAAAATTCTGTAGACAGAAAATCCCTACAGTTTTCTGAGCCATCCCAGACAGGAAGAAACAAAACTCCCTCCAAACAGCAGCTTCCCCAGCCATAAAGACAACTCACCTCGCCACTGGCCGTGCTGTGCAGGGTGAGGACAAGCAAACCAGCCGGAGGTCCGTGCCTGGAAGACTTCAGGACTGTCTTCAGCTGCCCAGTTCTGTCTCTAAGGCTGGCAGAGAGATTTCAGACCAATGATGCCAAGTTGTCTGGAAACAGAGCCTCAGTCTTCCTCTCAGCAGAGTTATGGTCACACTGGCAGCTAAGTATTTATACCCACCCTGTGTCATGCAGAGAACCATTTTTGCATAAAGGTCTCTTTTTTCTTTTTTTTTTTCCCCAAAGGGAGTGTCCCCAGCTGCGTGTACAGTTGGTTAATCTATGACTGGGCCAGTGGGTGACTTTGTTCTTCTGTTACATCACCTCATGGAGTACATCCTCAGTGTGCCCACCTCTTCCTGGTCCCAGGTCCCAGGCTCATCCACAGGGCGGCTGCTCCGAGAAGGGAGTCACCACGGTCAGGCTTTATTTGGCTAAGATATGTTGCCTCACTTTCAGCATCTGGGGGATTTTTCTTCACAGCAGGGAGCTCTCACTGGTCCAGTCTGCAGGAAGTCCAGGAAGCTGGGCAGGGGTGAACGCTATGGAAAATGCCCAGGTCAACAGAAGGCCAGGGATGCTCGGGGATGCCAGGAATCGGAACAGGCCCTTGAAACACTCAGCGTGAGGTTTCTGGAAGGGAGCAGAAGGAGGGTCGTTGGCACAGAGAGGACTCTTAGATGTCAGCCTTGCTAACCTCACACCCTTCAGCAGTAGAATTATTTCCTACGGAAATAATTTCCTTTAATGAACATTGTATTATCACTTCCCGTGAGGGAAATTATCGTTTTTTTTTTTATGTTTCAACTATGGCATGTTTACATAGCATAATTTTTTTTTCTGTTATAAGTGTAAAGTAATCTTAGAAAAGAGTTGGGGAAATAGAGGAGGAAAACATCAGCCTGGGGCTAACCCCCCAGCACAGCAGCTGAGCCCTGATCCCACACTGGCTGACCATGGTTTGAATCCGGCTCAGGCACGTGTGGATGGAGAAGTGGAGGAAAAGGGTCATGGTGTGGTCATGCCCCATTGGGGTTGTACTCTCTCCCTGGCGAGCACATGTACCCTCTGGCAATTAAAAATGTCTTTAAAAGTCACCTCGATCTCATCATCCTAACACATCCCTGTTCCCATCTTTCATTTCTTTCCTGTCTTTCCCAAGTTAAATTCAGAATCATGGGGTCAGCAGGTGGCACAGTGGTTAAGGCGCTGGACTCCCACATGGCCTACTGTGGTTCGAGGCCTGGACTTGGTGGCTTGAAAATCACACCAGGTGCCTGTGCGTGCGTGCCCAAGATCCCGAGAGGAGAAGGAAGAAGAAGGAGTTGTAGTGTGGCCATCCTTCCTGGGGAGTGATTTCTTGCTTTCTGTCTCTCTGTCTCTCTCTGGTGAGTGTATGTGTCCTATAGCAAAAATCTCTCTTAAAAAATATCTAGAATCATACGGGCCGGCAAGTGGCAATGTGGTTAAAGGCGCTGGACTCCCACATGGCCGACCACAGTTCAAGTCTAGGACCTGGTGGTTTCTTTTCTCACTTCTCTCTCTCTCTCTCTGATCAAACTGGAAAATAATAATGATAATAATAAATTTAAAAAAAGAGAAAAAATTTAGAATCATAATGGATTGCATTTGCCTGAAACAGACTATGAATCACAGAAAAGATATAAATAGGAGCTCAAAGATCTGTGCTGGATGAATCAAGAAATGAAAGCAAAAGTAGACTGGAATTGCTTTTGATCTATCGGAGCCACCCTTCTTTCCCGCTTCAGCCAGTTCAGTTCAAGGAAACACTGACTGAGGGAAAGCTCAGTCTTTGGCTGTAGAAAGTGCTACACCGAGAGAAGAGGAAACAATTGTAGCATTGAGTGATACTTACAATATCACTCAGGAGCCAGCAGGTGCCAAAGTAGCTGGATCTGCGTTGCTCAAGAAAGTTCACAGTGGAGGGGACACCAGAGCAGGGTTTTGAGGGATCACTAGGAGCTCGCCACAGTCTAACCCCTCTTCCCTATAACTGCTTTCACATAGTCTGCCTGTACCTGCAATAAATACGTATATTAACTCATTTAACACCCCTCCCCACCTCCCTAAAACCCTGAGGTGGATACTATTACTTGCCACTTACTGAATCCTCTAGAATCCTATGTATTTGGCATCAGAACACTTGATTTTGCTTCAAAAAAGGCAGCTCTCTGGTTATTTGATCTACCTGTGGCTAGAGGCACGTGGGCACCAAAACGTCAAGATGTATGAGGACTGCCTCTTGAGGCTGGCGTTCTGTCCTGGATAAAGAGGGCCTCTCCCAGATGCAGCCTCGGGGGGAGTGTCTCACACCCTCGCATCTTGCTGTTAGCCCACCTCGGTGTGGAGCCTCCCCTGCGTGACGCCACCCTGACACGGGTGGTGCTCACAGCTACCCAGCTGTGTCCACTGCTGCCTGCCATCCTTCACCCTCTGGAAACCAAGGCACCGAGCCTCAGGGGAGCTGGCGGCACTGACCGGATGAACGAATGGTGACTGGTGAGCAGTGCCGGTAGGAGGCCTCTCAAGTGCCGGGTACAGGGCAAGAGCACTTCGATACTCGCTCCTTGTCCCCGTGATTCTACTCCCATGGCCGACGGCGCTGCCATGTCACCGCGGGCAGTTCTCCAGCTCAGCACGGCTCGCCCTGAGCTACCCGGCCTGCAGCAGGGTTTGGGGCAGAAGCTACTGTCTCCCCCGAGCACCAGGTGCTGGGGACTCAGCTGGACTTAGCCTGAAAAGTTCCTACGGACCTGCCGTGTGACCCCAGACAAGCCTCCTCTCCTGTCTGGGTCCAATCTTTGACATGACAAATGATGACGGGGATCAAAATGAGTAGGTGGGAAGTAAGAAAACCCTTGAACTTCTAGGCAAAAAGGCAGCCAAGCCAAGCTTCCGGTCCCTGCTGTGGGCCGAGGAGTAAGAACCGACCGTTTGCCACAGAGCCAGCGGTGACTCGCCCTGCCTTTGAGACACCCCAGCTCAGCCAGCCAGCAGGCCGCCCAAGGATTCCCAGTTCTTTCTCTCTGCTTTCTTTCCATGGCCAGAGGACACGCATGCTCGCCAGAGAGAGACAGAGAGGACCAAGCTCCCTCTGGCTGGGCGTGGTCCCGCCGCAACCCCTTCCCCTCTGTCTCTCTCCATCGGGATTTTGGGCACACACAGGCACTCGGTTTATTTCTCAAGCCACTGAGGTTGGGATTCAAACCACGTGGTTGGCCAGGTGAGATCTGGCTCCCATAACCACCAGGCCACCGGGCGGACCCCTCCACTTTTCTCTCTAACATTAGATTTGTTTCTTTCTTTTTAACGGGAATCCAGTTCGCATGGTTGAACCCGCCATGTCACTACGCGGCGGTGTGCAATGGGGTGGTCTAGCACACGTGCAACGCCGCGGGCTCACTGCTGTCTTCCCAATATCCTCGTCACTGGCAGAAAGGCAGGGGATGGGTTTACGGAGAGAGGTTGCGATGGCACAGAGAGCTTCGGAGACTTGCCAATCACACAGCAGGCAGCCTCCGCGTCGGGACAAACAGAACATTCCGACGCCCACCCCAGGGCTCCTGTCTGCAGGGTCCAGGGCCGGCCCGTGGATGTCCCTTGAGGAGTCTCCTGCGGCTCCTGGGGCCTGCACAGTCACCTTCGCCTTGGCCCTGCTCCCCTAACAGGCCACATTCCTGGGCCACGCCTGATGACAGACGCAGCAGGTGAAGTCTGCTGGGGAGAAATCAAAGTGCACCTTGAAGGGCAGGCAGGGGACAGGCGGGCCCCTCCGAAGGCAGGGGTGGAGGTTCTGAGGCTGCTGTCGAGAAACTCTCTCCTACCTTCATTCCCAGGTGTCTTAGGCACCACACTGATGCTCTCTATGCTGGGATTCCCCATCAAATAAAGTTGATTCCCATGCCGGATAGTGGCTCCAGCTGGCCCTCAGGACTTACCAATTTTGGAGCCCTTTCTACAAAAACAATGATCCAAGCACCTGCTTGCTGAGCAGGCCACTTGGACGTGCCAGTCCTCTAACCCACCCAGCAGTTCTGGGACGAGGGTAGAATTACCAGCCCCATTTTATAAGTAGGGAAA